AGGACCTAACCTCGAGCAATACTTTCTTTTGGTTGTTTTACGTGTTTTGGGCAGATGCGCTTAATTCACTAATGGCTGTTCACCGTAGGATAACAGCCCCATAAACCAAATATTAGACAAAAGAGTCGCTTGAAAACACATTTCTCCGGATATCACCTCCCCATCAGTGTAGAATGCCGAGCCTAGACACATCAATCACATTTATTGGGTCTTGAAGAGCAGAATTGCGCAGTGTCCGAGGTAGAAGTAGATGAAGTGCTTAGTCTCTGTTGAACACATGATTAGTATCTGATTATCAGCATAATGGTTCTAGTATCCACAAACCATGGGTAACGAAGCTTCCAAAGTTACGACCAACAACGCAGTGCCAGGTGGCGCCCTTGCGGGAGTCGAACTAATGTATGGGGTTAGAGATGTTATCAGGCGGGGTAGAATCGGGGTAGAATCGGCGTACCTCTTTCTTGATATACTGGGCAATATCCTGTAACTGGTTATTATCTAATTCATATTGGGGATGGGATTTGAGGAGTGCGTGTACCTTTTCAACTCTGAACTTCTCCATGGCCTCAATGGCTGGGGGGTAGGTTAGCTTTGTTTATCTAGGGCGCTCTCGAAGTTTCATACCGAGGGCAATAGCCTCCTGCTGCATATCCTCGGTCTAAAAATTGTGTCAGAATCAATTGGCTATCGTAGTTTCGCATGAGTGTCCTTACCATGTCCACAGACTTAATCTGCGCTGCACGGAGCGTTTAGCACTTGTCACTGGACTCACGAAGGATAAACTTACCCTCCATAGGCTCCTTCTTTTCAGCTGGGGGAAGTGCCATTGTGAGTGATTCCTGTATCAAAAAAACTTCGAAGGGGGGGTTTAGGTGGTGCGCCAAAAAAGAGACTTGGTAGCGTAATCTCGCGATAACGTACGTTATTGCCGGTGGACAAGCCACACCGCCTGCCCGCCAGACCGCCCGCGGCACTATGAAAGAAGAAAAAAAGTTTTTCTCGTAGAAACTTCGAGTCTTCACACTACTCACCACAAAAACCCAAAATGGAGAGCACTAGAGTGTTCGTGGGTGGTCTCCCACCGACATGCTCTAATGATCAGCTAAAGAAACATTTTGCAACTCGCTTTCAAGTCACCGATGCTCATGTCCTACCTAAACGTAGGATGGGGTTCGTCGGCTTCAAAAGCCATGAAGCAGCCCTGCAAGCTGTGAAGCACTTCAACAAGACATACATGAAGATGTCGAAGATCGCTGTAGACATCGCTCGTCCGGTATGTCGATTCTCAGCTCTTTTTGCTTCAGCCACCCTCCTTTCGCCTGTGCACGCTGACCAATTAAGGTGGTCTTGAGACTGACCCGTATTATTGCAGATTGACTCAAATGACGCTGAGGATGCCCACCCCACACGACGACGTGATGCCACGAATGATAATGATGCATCGTTGGATAACAACCTCAAGCGCAAGAGGGACGGCGAGAACAAATCACAGGACCCTAAGCTACAAGAGTACCTCTCTCTGATGGGATCATCATCGAAGACTCGGACATGGGCCAACGATGATGATATGATCAAGCCGTCAGTGGACACGGTTCCCGTTATTAACCAACCCGCGCAGGAAGAAGAGCAGATTCAGGACCTGCCTTCACACCCAAAAAAGGCAAAGACAGAAAAACCTTCCACGGTAGCAACGCCTGAGCAGCCTGAGCCCATGGTAATTGACAAGATTGAAGAACAGGAGGCTCAAGAAACACCAGAACAGGACAACTCTGCGGAGCCTGAAGAGGAGACTAGACCTGTATCTGATGCAGATTGGCTACGGTCAAAGACGAGTCGTTTGTTGGGCCTTCTCGATGAGGAAGAACAAGATGAGTTTGATCAACACAAGGCCGCCGCACCGACTACTGCGCCGATCAAAGCTCATTCACCACCTTCCTCGTCTGGCGATGAGTCGCCTCAGCGTGACGAAGAATCGCGCACTGCGGCCATTGAGAAAATTGCGCCCAACACGACTGACGTTGACAGCATCACCGAGGCAACGCCGGAAGATCCGAATATCGATCTTATTCGGAAATCGGCCCGTTTATTCCTCCGGAATCTTGCCTATGACACCACGGAATCTGATCTACAACCGATTTTTGAACGCTTTGGAAAGATTGAGGAGGTTAGTACTTACCTTTTTTTGCTTTCTCAACCCTGCCCCGCCTTTCCCCCAGTGCGGCAGACTAGCCTGTTTGTTACGAGTGCTCGTATGATGATTTTCCCGATAGGGACATCCGATGCAAATTGCAAATGATGTTACCAGGACAAGATATTTTAGTAGATGCTTCTTGACTATCTGAAAGAGCCAACTCAACCCACTTTTCCACATTTACACATTATATTCAATGACCTTGAGTACTAATTGAATATAGATTCACGTTGCTTTTGACACACGCTCCACAACTAGTAAAGGCTTTGCTTATGTGCAATACTCGCATGCTGATGCGGCCATTGAGGCCTACCAGACCCTTGATGGCAAGCATTTCCAGGGTCGTCTGCTCCACATCTTGCCTGCTTCTGCGAAAAAGACCTACAAGATTGACGAATACGAATTGTCAAAGCTTCCTCTGAAGAAGCAGAGGGAGATCAAGCGAAAACAAAACGCCTCTGGATCGTCATTTAGTTGGAACTCCCTATACATGAATGTGAGTTTACCTCTTACCACCACCAATCAAAAGGTTGAGACTAATTTCGCTACAGGCCGATGCTGTGATGTCATCAGTGGCCTCAAGGCTCGGAGTCTCCAAATCTGAACTGCTTGATCCCACTTCTTCAGAAGCCGCCGTCAAGCAAGCACATGCTGAAACGCATGTGATTCAAGAAACTAAAGCCTACTTTGCTTCGAATGGAGTAAATATTGATGCTTTCAAGCAGCGCGAACGTGGGAACACGGCTATTTTGGTCAAGAACTTCTCATATGGTGTCACGTCGGCAGAGCTCAGGAGTCTGTTCGATCCATATGGCAAGATTATCCGACTCTTGATGCCGCCAAGTGGCACTATTGCTATCGTGCAATTTGCGCAGCCTGACGAGGCCCAGAAGGCTTTCAAGGGCATGGCATACCGCAAGATAGGTGATTCTATCTTGTTCCTGGAGAAAGCACCGAAGAATTTGTTTGATGGTTCAGCAGCTCCACCCACACTTGCTCCAGAGACTCGGGGCAAGGATCAAGGTTTCTCAACTGCAGACACATTTGCCGCAGATGAACCTGATGACAGCGTAGCAACTACGACACTCTTCGTAAAAAACCTGAATTTCTCGACCACAAATGAGAAGTTCCTGGAAGTGTTTCGATCTCTGGATGGCTTTATCACTGGTCGCATCAAGACCAAACCTGATCCCAAGCGACCAGGGCAGACCCTCAGCATGGGATTCGGCTTTGCGGATTTCAAAACCAAGGGTCAAGCCCAGGCTGCTCTTTCAGCTATGAACGGCTACAAGTTGGATCAGCACGAGCTTCTCATCCGCGCATCCCATAAAGGCAAGGATGCCGCCGAGGAGCGGAGGCGCGAAGATACCGCGAAGAAGGTTGCAGCGCGGAGAACCAAAATCATCATCAAGAACTTGCCGTTCCAGGCCACGAAGAAGGACATCAGATCTCTCTTCGGGGCATATGGACAACTTCGGTCTGTGCGTGTTCCCCAGAAGTTCGATCATACTGCTCGTGGTTTCGGTTTTGCAGACTTTGTAAGCGCTCGCGAAGCAGAAAATGCCATGGACGCGTTGAAAAACACGCATCTCCTGGGGAGACGATTGGTTTTGGAGTTCGTGAACGAGGAGGCCGTCGATCCCGAGGAGGAGCTCGCGCGCCTAGAGAAGAAGGTAGGAGAGCAGATGGACAGGGTCAAACTTCAACAGCTTACTACTGGCGCCGGGCGCAAGAAATTTACTGTAGGAGGGCAGGAGGAAGAGTGAAGCCTTCGTTCCTTCTCCCTTTGACAAGGACACGGCCATGGATTGGCTCGTTGACATCCCTTGCAGGGAAAAAAGGTGGATTAATGTCCCATGTACGATTACTTGCATACTACCATAGCTACAATGTGGAAATAAAAAGATACCCCGAATACTGTTGAACACGTTCTTTGCAGCTGTCAATTTCCCTGCAGTCCCGTCCTCGTGCGTCTCGTGCCCTCTTGATCCAGGCGTAACCGTAACCCTACTTTACCTTACTGTGCAACACCTTTCTTTTCTACCCCACAACTTCAGCTAAACCGCCTTGGATCGCAGGGTCATTTTACCTAGCTTAGCTTACTCTTTTGATGGTACGCAGGACTATCATCAACAGAGATCAGCCAAGCCTGCATTCCGGTGGTGATGTCTGGCGGTGGTCGAGCATTCCACGTCCCGTGCCAGAAGACAATGTAGTTGGACCATCAACATTCCTGCAACGCCATGATTGCCACTGATTATTGCAATCTTTTGTTGATGCAGGTCCGAGCGATGGATGTTCAAGGTCACTTCGCGCTGCACAAAATCTCCGACCCACTCATCACTGGTTCGTGCTGCTGAGCATCCCTTGCATCCTAGACAACTTCCTTCATATCGAGCCCTGTCTTGACTCCTGATTTGCTGCGGCAGGGTCGGCTTGCCGTCGTCCTTTGGTTCTCTGCTCTCCACACAGCGCGCGCAGGCCAGGTTCGGGACCTGCCCAGGAGTATGGACAAGGCGTTCGAGGGACGTAGGCCAGGCAAAGAAGACCTGGCGGAACAATGTCGCTACTGGGGCTACAGTACCCCTCTCCAAAGGGGAGTAATGGTTCCATATAAACACCATCTTGCTCGCTCCCACATTCTCTTTCCCAGGTTCTTACATTCTCTTGACATCTTGCGTTCTTGGGTCGTTGTTTGTGACTGAGCTGCGTTCTTTGCCAGGCAGTAAGCATTTGACGGTGCCTCTCAGTTCCCCTCCTCATTGGAATCTGTCATTCTTTTCGAGAGCCCGTCCTTGGTTCCCTCCCCATGGCTACTGACTGGCAACCCGAGTGCCTTGTCGCTCAGAACCAGCCGTCACTGGATCCTGTGGGAGCTCATTCTGATCGAGCTCTGCAGAATACCACTGGGAATGTCCAGTCTTATTCAGACCAATTGGCTCATGCTGGTGTCACTGCTCGCGATGATCAGTTTCATCAATATAGCTTCAAGTATCCTCATGGCCCTCATCCTCAACCCTTGTCAGCACCTGGCTTGCATCAACAGCATGTAGCGGCTCGGCTTCATCAACGGAAGCTTCGCAGGCTTCACTCGGTTGGACCCAACTCTCAGTCCCGCCGGGCACAAAGCAGCTATCTCAAGTCTCAGAAATACATGGAGTACCGACGTCGCCCTCGTCGTGATACTGGAAAAGATGGAGAGCCAGTGTGGTCTGATGAATTGGAAGACGCTTTTCAGCAGGGTAGGTTCATACCACCATAGTGATAGATGAACCAGAGGCTAACAACCGATTTCAGCTCTCGAAGCAAACCCTCCCATGGGTCGAAGAAAGTGGTCCGAACGTGGCAAGTCATATGGCCGCAACGAGCTGATTGCTGAGTATATCTTCAAGTTGACTGGCAAGCGGAGGACACGCAAGCAGGTGTCAAGCCATCTGCAGGTCCTCGACTCTTTCTTGAAGGGCGATCCCGATTGTGAGTTCTCAAATATGAAAGATGTGTATATCTTCTTTTTAACACAGTATGCTAGGGGAGCGACTTGTCCGTGAGCCAGCATTAGAACGATCATCGAGTGTTCATGGCTCAGCACCTGCTCCGAAATGGAGAACGGCAGTAGAGCACCCCTCGGGATCTAGCCACTACGGCAGCCACACACACCCTTCATACCATGACCATATGAGATCTATGCAACCATATGCTGGAGATCTCCCACCGCCACACTATACGCTTGGGTCCAACATGCAGGAGACTGCTGCTAGCACCATTCATGGCTTTAGCTTCGACATGTGGGTCAGCGCTCCTCAGCAGGCCAATCGCATCGACAAGGCATTGCATGCATACACCCGTCTGCAGGGTGATCTGCACCACCCCGTTGCACCCCCCATGCCTCTTGAGCATGTGAACGGGTGGCGGTCTTCTTTCCCCCAACTGGCTTCTATGGTGGATGACGTCAACAATCCCCTGGATTGCGATATCATCTTGTTAGAAGTGAACCTTGAGCTAATGACCGACTTCCCTCCTACTGGCTCACGACTGGGAATCCAGCTCGATCTTGACTACGGTCACCCTAGTGCTGGCGATGTTTTGGGAGTCAGCCAGATGGACAACTGGACCTGCAGCACGCATATCTACCAAGATAGCCAGAAGCTCCTAGAGACTTACCACGACCTACCCAAGACACAGTCAACTAAGGTCAAGCCCCTCTTCGAATCATCTTGGTGGGCTAAGCTGTTCACTCAGTTGACTCAAGAGAAACGTATAGCCGAGGACTCAGGAAACCCCCAAGCTGCTCGTGACGCTGATGACCATGCCCGTCAATTCTTCCGCTCATTGTCTGCAGTGCAAGAGATCCGTGCCACCTCGCCCAGCTCCTGCCGTCTGTCTAACCAATACCAAGGCCATCACGGCGATGAGAGCAAGCGCATGGCCGTTCTGGCCTGGAAGTTCCGACAAACCAGGCCTGGCGAAGTTGGCACCACCACTTGGAGACGACTAATACCGGCACCGGACCGGACTACAACCAACAGCCCGCGCCCAGCCTCCGCGGTCGATCGAGTTCCTCTCTCTCTGGATTCCATCCTTCTCAACAAACCATCCCACCAGGGTATTTACCAAGCCCCTCATCCTCACGACCTCATCCACCACCCCAGCCAATCCCAATCGCAATGGCCCATGTACCAATCACCTCATGACAACGTGTCTAATCTCTATAATCCCTCCGGCCATCTGGACTTCATGTCATCCATCAGCAAAGCCGAAGATGGACTCAATGATAAAATCGCCGTCACCTCGGTGCTGGACTCCTTCTCCGCCAGCCTCGCACCCGAGAGCATCTCATCCACAAGTCTCCACGGCTCCAGCGGTGCACCCGTCATGCTCAACGTGCATGACCTACCACTCACCCACCCAGGGATGGGCTACACAATGGGCCACGAAACATCACATTACGTGCCATCCCAACACCACAGCGTGAATATGCACGACAGCAACAGCGTGCTACACGGCTTCTTCGGCTCTCACACGCAACCGCTTGATGACCTCAGCCACGGCCATGGGTCGTGGGGTACGCACTCCACATCCATACCCGGAGACGTCGGCGCCGGCAGCTACCATATCCCTTATCAGGCCGAGCACCATGGACCTGTCTCGCGCGAGTCGCAGCAACCACACCAGTTCGACGGCCTCTTGCCATCGGAGGACCTAATGGATAAGATCGTCGGGCGCATGTCCAATGGTTCCGGCATGCATGGGGCGGGCCCCGATGCGGGCTACGATAACGCCACTGTGGATGCGGTATAACGACATATTTTACAAAAACTAAAGTAATTATAATCATTCTGGGAGTGGTCTTTTGAAATTTTCTATTCCTCTTTCTGTCTTTCTTTGTGAATGTCTTAGCTAGCGCCCGGAGAAAGAATACTTTCTACACCAATCACTTACTTCTATTTACATTGCAATTTCCCTCGGCTGGACTCCTCTCATCAGCCACTTTAGCCGCAAAACAGCACATTTTAGGACCAACTGAGGTAGATTCGATTTAGCCTGAACCTTTAAATTTTGTGTATATTTTCAATATTACTAGGTGGGGTCCTATATATACCCCTCTATGCCCCAATTTCTTTTTTATTTTGTTCTCTTGAGATCTCGTTTTCACAATGGTTGCCCCTACTGTCAAGCTTAACAGCGGCTATGAGATGCCCATCGTGGGCTTCGGCCTCTGGAAGGTCAACAAAGACACGTGTGCCGACCAGATATACAATGCCATCAAGGCTGGTTACCGTCTCTTCGACGGTGCCTGCGGTACATTCACTCTCTCCAAATCAAGCCCTAATTGATACTAACACTATTGATTCCAGACTACGGTAACGAAGTCGAAGCCGGTCAGGGTGTAGCCCGCGCCATCAAGGACGGTTTAGTCAAGCGCGAGGAGCTCTTCATTGTCTCCAAGCTCTGGTGCAGCTTTCACGAGGCCGACAAGGTCGAGCCCATCACGCGCAAGCAGCTCGCCGACTGGGGCATCGACTACTTCGATCTTTACATCGTGCACTTCCCCGTTGCTGTGAAGTATCTCGATCCATCAGTGCGCTACCCTCCGGGCTGGACCACCGCCGAAGGCAAGATCGAGTTCGCCAACGCACCGATCCACGAAACATGGGGTGCGATGGAGACTCTCGTTGACAAGAAGCTGGTTCGCAGCATCGGTGTTAGCAATTTCAGCGCCCAGCTGCTGATGGATCTGCTTCGCTACGCCCGCATTCGCCCCGCCACCCTCCAGATCGAGCATCACCCCTACCTCACCCAGACCCGTCTCGTCGACTACGCCCAGAAGCAGGGCATCACTGTTACTGCTTACTCTTCTTTCGGACCTCTGAGCTTCCTCGAGCTTGACCTTAAGCATGCTAAGGATACTCCGTTGCTCTTTGACCATACTACTATCGCCACCATTGCCGAGAAGCACGGCCGTACCCCTGCCCAGGTCTTGTTGCGCTGGTCTACTCAGCGCAATATCGCTGTTATTCCTAAGAGCAATGATCCTACTCGCCTCGCTCAGAACTTGACCGTCACTGATTTCGACCTTGAGACCAGCGAGCTTGAGGCCATCAGTGCTCTAGACAAGGGTCTTCGTTTCAACGACCCTGTTGCTGTAAGTTTGGTACCTGCGGTGTATTGACTGTTAATACTAACTGTTCTTTTCTTTAGTACGGCCTCGAAATCCCCATCTTCTAAGTGCTTGCAGACTCAAAAGCCCGGGAGACGGAAGAATCTCCGCGATATAATGTCGATTTTTATAGCTTGGATAAATTAAAAAGAACATATCAATTCCAAAAAATTCTAAATCTTCAGATCTTCTATATTAGCTAGAGTAGCATGCAGTCTTGTTGTACTAACATGTACATAGATAGGCAATTCCGCCAAGAAGTGCCGATCTCGAAGATCCGCCATCTTTCTCCAACTTCGGATGTCACGACTTCAACTTCCCAATAACACAACTCTCACAATGGTGTCCCCTACTCTAGCGCGCATGACCGCACAGGTTCATATAACCGCATTTCCCATGCCAAAAAACCTATCTGAAAGCAAGCTTGTACTGGCCGCGCTCCAGAAGTTTGGAGAGGTAATAACATACCGCAACCTCAAGGTACGGCGGCGCCCTCTCTAAATTATCATTCAGACGAGCCCCGATTTAACAATTGCCTTAGTATGACACGACCAACACTTCACCAAACCCTAACCGCCCCATTGTCGCGATCTTCGAGACAGCCGACGCAGCAGACCGCGCGATAGCAGCTTCGCCCATAACCATTCCCCTACCGACATCCACCTCCCCCTCTAAATCTCAATCTTCAACCTCTATTCCATTCACATCAACTACCAAGCCACCTTTAAATACCCGCCGCTCACTCATCTTCGAAATTCAACACTCGCGCCACAACCACGCCTCCGCCCTCAAACGCAGCCCCTTCTACTCTACCTATAACCTCTTCAAAAACAACCCCATCTACGAAGATCTGATCAGCGACGAGACCAGTATCCCGCTCAAAGAACTGGCTGATACACTTTCGAGCAAGAAGTATCCTATTGGCGCTGGCGTCAAGTCTAATATCCAGGAGGAAAATCGCCGCATGGGCGCGACGAGTTTAGTGAATATGTGGAAGGAGGGTATGGGGATAGATGTTGAGCTTGAGAATGAGGGGCAAGATTTTGGCGAGAATGGTCCTGTGGTTGAACATCTCGGCGGTGGCATTAGGGAGCCCGGGGAGGGATTGGAGGACGAGAAGCAAAGCTCGGTAGTCTGAGTCGAGGACCAGGTTTGGCCTTTTCTTGTTGCTTAGATGGTAACTAGAGAGGGAAGAGACTTTCTTTTATTCTGGGCTGATCCGCATCAGCAAGTCCAGCCGAAGACGCGCTCTCCTTTTATGAGCAGTTGCATTGACTCTGGGCCGAAGGCGCAGATTGGATTCCCCTCCTGGCAGCTCCATAGCCGCGCTTTGCTTCGAATGACTTGCATTCAGAACCTCTGCTTCTCGAGCTCATTCCTCGAGAAGGAGGAAGGAAGATGAGAAGGTAGGGCATCTTGGGATGTTCCAACATTGCCCCCCAAGCAGACATGATATTTGTCGCGAACCGGATGACCAAGGCACCATTTACTACCTAAATAGGTAGTAGATAGCTTTCTCTCCATTCTTCATCTTCTCTCTCCTTGTCCCTTTTCTTCCCACGGGATTGATTACACTGTTTCTCCAATTGACCTTCACTGTAAATCAGGAATATTCTGTATAGTTTAAACTGAGATTACGTTAACTAAATAAAGAACCCAGCCTTGATGTAGTCCACAACCTTGGTGATCTTCTCAATAGGGAAATTTCTCAAGTGGTACTACTGTGGTAGTACGACACGGCGGCCGCGATTGAGCTCGATTTTCCGGGAAGGAGGTTCTTGAGAAACAAGAAAGGTCAAATAATTGTCACCAGAGTCCTCATCGTCAGAAGGAATCCCCGGGATATCAGGTGCCTGAATGAGAGAGACATATTAGATATGTATACCAAGCATCGTATCATGTAACATACTCCAGGATACTCCCAGTCAATGTCAACCCCGTCAAGGTAGTTTTCCTTGACGAAATTAGCAATTTTAGTGGCCATTGTCAGTCAGTTGGCGGCTTTGACTCCCTGACGGAAAATATTGTAAGTGCCGGACATAGTAGAAAAATCCCAGCCGCCAAAGATAGAATCTTTTTGGCCCGGAGACGCGCAAAAAACTCTTGAACTGATATTCGGTCAGAACATCCGAGGATTTGACTTCGTAATCTGCCGTTAATTCACCAAATGCAAAGTGCAGATGTGTTTACTCTGACCCGTTAATCTGTGAGGCATCCTGGTACAGACAATCACGACTACTCAAGCTATAACCCTCGAAGTAGGCAATGTTTCGCACAACGTCAAGGGCAGCACCGCGGACAGTCTCCGTACCACAGTTAGAAATGCAACCATTCGTGCCCTTCTCCGCGGATCCTGGAGCTCCAGTGTGCCACACTATTCTTTCTGTTAGGACGATTGCATAATCTGTTTCTTGAGGAAAGAACTTACTTGACCCCAAACATTGCAGCACGCATTCAGGGGGCAGGTATTGAGATCGGCAAGATCTGTTGTGTCGTCTGGCCTCTTAGTACTCGGCTTTTGGGGGCCGCACACAGCGTTAGCCATGGGGGCGGGCATAGGCGGATTCCCGCTACTCAGGCAAATAATGCTATCGACCCAGACATGAACAGCCATTTCAGCCTCATGTCTTCTTGTTTAAATCTTCCAGATCCTTATTCTCAGACTATACTCGGCAGCAAGGTCTGCACAACTGTCATCTTGTTGAATAGTGTAGGTAGCACACGATCCGTCCGGGTTAGGCTTTGGGGTAAAATCAGGGAGTGTTCCGGATGAGCAACAGACATACTGCCCTGGTTTGAGGGTTGAACAGAAGTTGGTTCCGGAGTTGTACTTGGTTAAGTCCGCAGCGGAGATTCCACACTTTGTGGCCAGAGCAGCGCAGCGGAGCCGAGTGAGACAAAGGGACAAGATGCCAAGAGTTAGCGCGGAAACGAGCATAAACGAGGGCTTGGCTGCGTCTACAATGCAACAGTCCCTGGAAGGAAGGCCACTACCAGTCCATCTATCTCGTAATAGTCCGATTCAGGGGCTCAGACAACAAAACAACTCATTTTCGCCGTTTCCATATTCTGGCCCTCTATCAACTTGTTCCCTCCTTCATTACTAGCGAAAGTAGTGAGATCCTCATGTACTATAATGTATATCTTTCCGAATTGCCTTTTTCTGGCCCTATCGCAAATTCTCGCGTGCAGTTGGGCGATTAACACGCGAGGGATCATGGAAGTAGATTTGATTCTTCCGCGCAATGACACCTATCCCCCCTCGCTTATGCTGCCGATCATATTCGCCATCCAAAATCCGAGCCTCCTCAAAAGCTTCGGTCCGATACTTGAATAGAGTATTGAGCAGGAGAACTTTAGTACTAGCGATGGAAGTATTGCTAATAGAATCAATGCCGGCGGTCCTATTCGACTGTGGAACTTCAATGATTCCAGCAGCAACCCTCACTTCCTCTATTGGAGTCACGCGCGGTTCGATGTTGAAGGAACCTTCGCATTTTAATGGGGGATCCAGATAGATGGATGCTCTCGAGATCCGGAGACAGACGACGTGAGCTTGGAAAGATATGGTAAACGCCCCCATTTCTACTTCTCCACCAAGTTTGGCACTTCACCGCCGGATTTTGTCGCTGTGAAAGACGATGATACTTGCGACCAATCGTTAGCTCAGGCTTTCAATTTCTCCGATCTTTTGGAGCTCCCGCCAACAAACACAGTTCCCTACGGACTCTCCTGTCTAGCCCAACCGCCTAGGCTGCCTAGGGTTACCAATCCTTGCAATGTCAGAATGGACTCACCAGCCGCAGCAAGTATCTCGGCGGCTTTAACCTCTACTGCGTGTGCCGTGGCTCGAACAGGGGTAATCTGCCCAACTCCATCTCCTAAAAATGCAGCCTCTAAGGCACAATTACCGATTGGCGGGGCATGGGCTTTGGTAATGAGTACAATACTCATTTAGGGTCTCGCATGATTCATGTTGACTATTCCCCAAGAGACTTGTTTTTTGTTCTTACAGGGGCAGTTCGCTCAATTGCACGCTAGTTGTTGACACTCTCGGAACCAAGCAGGTCTGTCCGCCACCGCAATGCCTGATATGATATAGGTCCGAGTCCATCATATCAGTATGCAGTAGTCAACCAAAAAGTGGGACACCCTAGGACAAAAGAAGTAAATGTTATCTTATAGCCAGTCTGATCAAACGTTACATCCACGATTAAACAAGCACGTGAAGGCACCGGTATATTAAAGCAGTCCAGGAACGGCATATTTAAGAGAAGCACCATCAACATCCCAGTTTGTTTTCTCTCTATTCAAATCCATGGGTTACAAGGCCGCCATGATCTCTGCCACCGTTGTCTGTAACTTCTCCAGCGTACCTAACAAAGGCGATACTTGCTCGTCCTTCGCTTCATCCTGGGGTCAGACTCTTGCAAATTTCCAAGCTCTGAACATTAGCATCTCTTGCTCGACTCTCACAGCCGGCCAAAGCTGCTGTGTTGTTGGCACAGTCAAAGACGAGCCAGCGACCACGACGTCCACGATAACCACGACGGCCTTGACAACCACAACTTCCACCTCCCAGTATGATCCAACCCAGTCTGGCATTCCTCCTAGCTGTGATGGCTTCCATCTCATCGCATCCGGTGACCAATGCGATACGATTGAGGCCAAGTACGGCATCACTGAGGCCCAATTTAAGGCCTGGAACCCCAGCATTGATAGCTGTATGCCCACCACTTTTATATCATTTCCTCTTCTGTATATTGTCATTCACTGACGCTTTTTTACTAGCATGCTCTAACCTCTGGTTGGACTACTACGTCTGCGTGCAAATCCCGGGCGCTACAACAACCACCTCGACTCCCCAACCGACGTCTACGGGGCCTTGGCCGCAGATGCCTGGCGTCGCGAGCAACTGCAAACCCTTTTACAAGGTCAAGACTGACGATAACTGTTAATCGATCAACACGGCTGCGGCCATCACACTCGCCCAGTTCCGCTCCTGGAATAGCCAGATTGATGCCAGTTGTACTAACTTGTGGGTGGACTACTATGTCTGCATTGGACTGTAGTTCACCAGTCATCTTTTTTACTGAGATCCTACTATCCTATGAGACGTTTCCATCATTTAAAAGGCCAAAGGAAGGGAGTGGGATATCGTACTCGCAGAGTGCATAAGCTGCGAAATTAAAGGAATACAAACAGTGATAAGTTAGAACATCAAAAACACAAAGCACCAGACTCGACCCTTGTTTCTGCCTACATCTCTCTTACCGCCTCCTAATTTGTATACCCCGCTTTTGGGTTGAACTGCTATTTGTACTCCGTATGTAAACTCCTAACAAAATAAGTCACTCCTGTCCTATCTTGTATCAACTGCTTCTTCATCCATTAAGGAGTTGGATCTATAGAAATCAGCTCGAATATACCTTTTCTAATGAAAACTAACAATGCATATATTGTTATATGTAAACCAGAAGTGCAAAATTCTGAGTGGTACCCAATCAAGAAGGCGGTACTGGAAATTCAGGCAGGCGAGCAACAATGCCCTAACTATGTTATATATATATTTAGTCTCTAGTAACCATTCTATACGGGCTCAATCTACCTTTCACTAGTAATGAGCGGGTTTACTAGGTCACCAGGTCAAGGTGATGTGATTCCCGCAAAAGGGGAGAGTGGCAGTGCTAGGTCTTGGCACAATGCTTGGCGACACTAAAAATAAGTTTCCACAGCAGCGCCAAGAACCAATTGGGCGCTCGTGACACTCCGCGCCAGCGGAAACGACTTGGCATATTGCTCCCTAGCTGGGGAGAACAGAAACCCAGAGAGCCTTTTCAACATCATTATGTCGAGAGACTCTTATGTTCTGTGATTTAAAGTATGCGTTAGAAGATATTTAAGTACAGAGTGCTTTCCCTAACCGCCTAAGCCCGGGTACACCGGGTAAGGGGGGGTCTTGGCATTACTACACTCTCATTTCCCAAAGGACAACTCGATGCCAAGCGCCTGAGAACTGGGCAGTGCTGAGCAGAGCTGCACCCATAACAAAGTCAGGCAGCAGGATTGGTTGTGCCAATGTCTTGGAATTATCACTCTGTACATAATCCCGCTGGTACGGCGCCTCTCTGCCAAGTGACTGGTTTCATCGTGATGGGTTCCATTGTCTTTTTGCTTTGTCGTTATAGGGGATGCACACTCATATTTGCCTCCTAATCCCAATGTACTTAACCTCTGCTCTCCATCTCCTAGTCCCATGCATTTCCTCCGATGTCGGTTACCGCTCAGCTCGCGTCAAATGAGGCCTGTGATCCTTTCTAGGTGGTTGACCACCCTTTTGGCCTGCCTTCTCATACAAAATGTCATCGCAATTGACGTTAACCCTGAGGATGAGAGTGTGTTCATTTTGTACCCTGGCTAGGCATTTCAAATGACTGACATATACCTCTCCTGACAGCTTCCCTCAAAGATGCCGCCAAGACCGTTGCCACCACCATGATGGATTTCTACAATGACCGCGACTCGAAAGATATTCCAGGGAAATTGGACGGTACCTGGTGGGAGGGTGGTTCAATGTTTATGACCCTCATCCAGTACTGGTATCTAACAGGCGATACCCAGTTCAACGACGCCATCCAGGAAGGCATGTATTGGCAAAAAGGCAAAAACGACTTTTTTCCAAGCAACTACTCCCAATATCTGGGTAACGACGATCAAGTGTTCTGGGGATTGGCGGCGATTACCGCCGGGGAATTAAACTTCCCAGAAAGAGACGGTGAAGCCTCCTGGATATCTCTGGCGGAGGGTGTCTTTAATGGACAGATTCCTCGCTGGGATATGACTAGTTGCGGTGGGGGTTTGCGATGGCAGATCTGGCCTTACCAGGATGGGTATAATATGAAAAATGCCATATCTAACGGCGGATTGTTCCAGCTGTCAGCGCGCCTGGCACTATATACCAAGAACTCGACCTATGCCGAATGGGCCGAGAAGATTTGGGACTGGAGCGCGTCTACACCGCTGTTGAGGAAGACCTGGGTTATCGCCGATACCACTACTAACGCCGCGAGTTGCAAGGATCACGGTGATCATCAATGGACTTACAACTACGCTACGTATATCGCCGGTGCGGGCTATATGCACAATTACGCATGTCTATCCCCTGTCCCTGACAAGTCGAGAATCTCAATTAACAGGTTTTATAGACCAATGGCGCCGAAAGCAAATGGCTCGAAGGCGTAACAGGACTGATGAAGACATCTGATCAGTTTTTCCCCGCCTCCGGTGCGAAGCAAATAATATCGGACATCACCTGCGAGCCAATCAATAAGTGTGATCGCAATCAGAAGACCTTCAAGGCCTACTTCACTTCCTGGCTCGGATTCATGTCGTTGATAGTACCATCCAATGTCACGGCGGAGATGATGGGGAAATTCAAGAGCTCCGCTGTCGCTGCCGGTCAGCAATGCTCCGGTGGAAGCGATGGGAAGCATTGTGGAGTTCGATGGACGAAGAAGACGGAATGGGATGGAACTTCGGGCTTGGAGCAGCAGATGTCTGTTTTGGGTGTTCTTAATGCTGTCATGGTTCCATTCAAGGCCCAGGGCCCTTACAATGCTGACAATGGTGGGACATCCCAAAGTGACGCACTTGGGGGTACCAACACCGAGAGTAACTTGGAGCCTGACCCTATCACCACAGGTGATAGGGTTGGCGCGGGAATCTTGACTGCGATCTTCGTTATACTTTGGGTCGGGACGATATCTTGGATGATTTTTGGAGACAAGTAGATACACTCAACTGTGAAGGCGTTCAATACATGTACATATATTGGGATTTTGATACCTTGAGGGATTCAGGCTTTATGATAATTTCTGATTCTAGCAGCACATCCACTACAACAGAAAAACTATTTACCACATTCAGGGAACAGCATCATCTAAAGTCGCGTCGTCAAAAATTTGTGGGTCAAATAGAGCTTTCTACAAGCTCTCTGAAATCGTACTGCCGACTTAGTTTCTTCTTACAATCATTTTGCGGTTCTACCTAGAGAAAGATTATAAAGAGCGACTTGCTATGGATGGTGAGAGAGCTGAGGGAGATCCTGGATATACAGAAGGGCAAGTATGCCTTGAATGCTTAGACAACCACACCAAGATCTTTCCCCCATCCTGTACAGTGCAGATTTTCTTGTTCTCCTCTTAGGCCTCCTAATCCTCTAGGTTCTCGGGCTTCTTATCACCCTTCTGAGCCTTGTCGTCCTTCTGGGCCGCCTCTCTAGCTCTCACAAGTTTAGCGACATACTCCTTAGTACGTAGCAGGCGCAGTGTAGCTGCATTAGTAGAGATGCCATAGTGTCGGCTAACAGCGCCCATGTCGATCTAGAATATGATATTACATTAGTGCTGAAACATAACTGATGAATGAGAGATGAAGTCACCTTCATTCCTGTCGCTTTGATACATGTAAGTACGAACTCAAGCCTGTCTTCTAGTATCTCACGACTAGGTTCTGAGGCGAGCTTGGCAGGCCTCGAGATAGGCTTAGCAATAGCATTCTTGTTAGCCTTGGCCTTGATAACTCTGTTGGAAGCCATGGTGAAGATGATGCTGATATGAGCTTGTTTGATGTAAATGTAAATGCGAAAAATATTGTCTTAGATTACGGGACCTAGGGAGCGGAGAGAAGAAGGAAGGAAAGCAACGTGAATTAAGATCGTGAATCCAATATATATCCTGACCTAATAGCAAACAACTTTAGCGTCTTCTTCGCATTTCGGACAATATTGTGCGAGACATGACCTCAGCACTCAGTTGATAGCGTAACTACGGCGGAAAGAGATAAAACACAACCAAAAGGAATAACCGATTCATTTATATAATAGAAGAGAACTTTGTGTATCATGAGGCTCATGTAAGCTTCGCAGATTGATTTCCGTGGGATAATTAGCAGAGCAATGTCCCTGAAAGTTTATATAGCATCCATAGATGGATTGTGTAGGTCAACACAGTGGCATGTCCTTCTAGATACCCTCACTGATGTTCACACTCTACTGCCTTTACATTCCCACGAAGCACTTCATACTTGGCAGAATCAGAACAGTATCGCCCACATTAAGACTAGGCCTGGCCATACCTATAGGATACATTATTTCCTACTTTTTAGCAACATCAATGCACAACTTTGTTGCTAACTAGCTAGGTAAGTTACGAATGGAAGTCCGGCGATGGCTAGCCTCAGAAGCAGTCATTCCAAAGTTAACTCCATAGGTCCTTGCATTCTACGTGCACAAATTAATCAGCTTACGCTTGATTATAGAACGAAAGACGCCAGAGCTATTAGTCAAACAGACAAGAGTATAAAAAAGACATTAAGGTATTACCCTCATTCCCCTAAACTCGGACAAACGCTATAAGGTGAAGTATCATATTAGCGCCATGTTCAAAATCATGTGTATACTGCAAGAGAGTCGGAGAGGAAACGCTTACTAGCATCAATCTGCTGGATGTTCGGCAACGCCAAGCGCACCTTATTCCGATAAACAGCCGGCCCATTCAATTGCAACGGGTTACCCTCGAAGTAAACAGTTTGCAGCTTCTCCTTATCCTTCAGCTCGCGCTCAACTTCCTGGAAGCTAGCAAGCTGATTATTCGACCCCCACAGCTCCTCGAGGTTCTTTAGTGATGAAAGATGTTCAAGATGGGAGACCTGGTTGTTGGAAAAGTCGAGTACGCGGAGTGTCTCGTTGGATTCCAGCCCTGAAAGGTCGGTTACTGCATTGTGAGAGAGGTAGAGCTCTTCAAGCTTTGGGAGCGCGGAAAGACCCGTGATTTTGGTGAGGCGGTTCGATTGGATGGAGATGATGCGAAGGTTTGAGAGGCTGTCCAGGTTCTGCAAGGCTGTCAGCTTCTTAGTTTGTTAAGGTATGTTAGGTGACAACTGCGGACCTTCATTTCGACGATCTTGTTTTTCCCAAGCCAGAGTTCTTCCAACGCGGTCAGTGTTTCCAGGTTTTCGATTTCCTGAAAGGACTCGTGTCAGCATTTCAATTGTTCACCTCGTACCCAGTATCATATAATACGAACCCGAATCTTATTCGCGCCCAATTCCAAGTTCTTGATTTCGGTCAATTCCTCCAAGCCCTCGATACGGGAGATTTTATTCTGCACAAAGAAAATCTCGGTCAACTTCTTCAGATGCGAGACATTCTTGATATGCTTGATCTTGTTGAAGCTCAGATCCAAGCTTGTCAAGTTATGGAACTCCTCCAGGCCGTTGATGTGGGAGATGAGGTTATCGTAGAGGTCAAGTTCGGTCAGACTGGCGGCGACATTAGGAGGAAAGTTGATGCGTGATATTTGATTCTGGCGCATGCATAGTCTCTGTATATCCTAGCGCATTAGCCATCTGGATAAACCAAAGAAATGCCTCGCCGTTGCACTTTTGTCCTTCGAGGAAAAAGTGGTACCATGCCCCTCTCCGCTACCAGGCACATGCGGATTCCAGGGCCGTTGGGAGTATGTACCTGAAGTTTAGGGAAGCGTTCTAATTTAAGAGCAGAGATTGACGATATCCGGCAATGCACGAGGTCGATATCCTGCAGCAGAAGAACGATTAGCAATAATGTCGCGCGCGCGTCGATCAGCAGAGTCCAGGGCTATCAGCCTACCTCTGCATTGACATCTTCCTCTGCCAATAGATCTGAATGTCCATTAGTCTATTGAATCGCCAATGACCGCGCCTTAAGCAATCAATCATCCAGCGACCATACCTTCATCAGCCTCAATCTCATCGACCGGGGGTGCATCCGGATCCGAGTAATCTGAGTCCTCCAGCGCCTCCGGGTTTGTAATAACCGCCTTTCTCTCCATTCGCATTTTTCCGTCCCAGCCCTCCTTGTTCTTCATGATTTCAGCCTGCGTGAGAGTTGTGGGATGTTTGGTGGTGGTTGGAATCGCGATTGCGGGGAGCTTTTGGCGTTTTTATCGGGAGACGATCGCCAACGGGGGATTCCGAAACAAGGGAATCCAAGGATATGGAGTTGAAAGAACAAAGAAGTAATAAAGAGTTAAGAGAAGAGGTTGCACTGCGAGTCAGGAACTGAAACCTTGGTTTCGGGAAGGTTGAGCTCAACTGGTGACTACATCATCGTCTTAATGCGGATGCGGAATGGCTCCGAGACACTTGAACCTATCTACTTCCGTGTCTAGGTTCTTAATATCATAGATAAGAAGGTAGTAATTAATGGATTAAATTCATCTCTACTCTAATAGAACTTGCTCCATTTTGTTTTCTGGATACGTCGTCTCGGGGGCTATATACAGCATCGAGAGCCGTGATTGATCAAGTACATTGCATGAATGAATCACTCCGACAACTTTGGCAGCGTAAAGAGAATTATTAGGCACTGCTCACTATGAAGGAAATGCATACCACTGCCAGGCAGAGGTCCCAGCAAAGGAGAGGACACAATGAAATGCACGCTCGTGTATTGGTGAGCTGAGATCAACACAGGTAAGGCCGTGTACCAGGGCAGAAATGGGAAAATAAAAGCATATGGGGGATACAGCGGGGACATGATAACCAAGAGACGCCTGCAGAATGCATAAGAAGCGGACTTGTTGGGTGTTGGGATGGGGGAGAATACACAAAAAAAGGAAGATCAGGACATGAGGGGGTGTTGGTAAAGCACAGGGAAGAAAAAGAAACAGCAAAAGAAAAAAGGGGAATGAGCTCCTCGGAGCGAGTGAGATACAAAATCAAATTGCAATGCAAAAGGTCGAGGATGGTCAGGTTAATGTGCTATCCAAGAACGACAACAAATGCAGGAGACGGGGCCTTGGCCCAGTAGGATACCAGTTCCATCTGGGTCCATGCTCTGTCGTCGAGAAGGGGAATCGGATTTGAAGTAGGAAATAGGGCGACTACCCATCAATGGCAGCAATGCTGGAGGAACGCAAAAGGAAAGGGCTTTTCTCGCGTAGAAAAGAAAGTGGAAAAGAAAACAATTCGCTCAAAATGGATATCTCAGGCGTAAGAAGGATCCCATTGAGGCGACTACAGGGTGCAGTCCAGGACCATGCTGACATCTTGGACCAGGGGCCCTGCGAGATCCTCGAGGACAGGGATGAGATCGAGCAACTCATTGTCATGAGCGTCAGAGAACCAGCTACTGATGGGAATCGCATGCTCGGGGTGGAAGATGTAGGATGTGGGGGAATTATCAATGATGATTGTGTCCTTCAAGTCTCGACCGACTTGTGAAAGATCCTGGATAATGGTTAGGTTTTTCTCAATCACTGAAGAGGACTAAGGAGCTCACCTTGACGTAGTTCCCCTGGTGGTTATAACAACTCTCTCGGAATAAGCGGTGATGAACCACGTTGTGAATATCAAGTTGATCAAGCAAAGGGTCGCCATACTATTACTCGAGTTAGTGTGTGTCACTCGCCGAAAACTATCAACTACCAACTGACCTTTGAAACCGAGGCAGTGAATACCACCACTTCGTAAAGTTCACCAACGCGCTTCATGAATGCGTCCACGCCAGGACGTTTAATCACATAGATGTTGTGATATTGACCTTCGATCTCAACTGGAATGGTGAAGTCGGCACGCTCCAAGACCTGACAAATCAATGATGAGCGAAATGATACAGTAATACGATTATACGCCCTTGGGCGCATACTGAAAGCGGAGACTTACCTTGAAGCTGCTGTGAACCAGTGTTTCATCGAGATCAAGTACCAAGCACTTTCGGCCACTTAAGTGAGGCAAAGGCGCAGGGAGCAAAGGATGTGCTTCGTCCTCATAATTGCCTCGAGCAGGGGGGGCCGGGGGTGCAGGTGGCAGTGGTGGTGGTGGTGGAGGGATCACCACGGGGAGTTTCATTTCTTGATGAGATGTGGCTTCTTCTTGCCCGTCAGTGCCAAAATCTTTAGGGATGGTTGACGTTGATGCAGAAGGGAGGTCCTCGGTGGTTGAGGTTGATTGGCCCTCCCCATTGTAAGTGTTTGCATCTGCTTTCACTTCAGGTACAGATTCCATCACGATTTTCGTTTGATCGTGTGGGGTAACATCCTTGGTCTGATCTTTCTGGCCAGAAAATTCTGGCTGCGTGGCATCCACAGAAGGACCATCGCCTTGCACACTAGCCATAGCAGGGTGGATATTGCGGTCTTCTTCGCCAGGTTGATCGGCGCTGACTGTGGAGTTTGCTTTTTCATCTAGATATGGCTCCCTTGATTCTACAGTGCTTGAGTCACCAGTAGGAGGCTCTACCTTGTCTGGAGTAGGCAATCTGTTAGAAGCAGGTGGCCGCATGGTTGTTTTCTTTGCAGGCAAAGCAGTGTCATCTGCATCAACATCCGAAGAGGAGCAACAGCCCAAGAAAGCTAGAAACTTAGATGGACTTTTCTTTTGTTGAGGCTTTGAGGGATTGTGACCGGGCATAGTCGTCGCCTCTTTACTCTCCTCCGCATTCACTCCGTTCTGAGTCTGGCGCGACCGTCGGCTACTTGCCCGGCTGTGGTCCCGTTTCGACCGTAGGATGCTCACTTTGGAACTCCTCCGAGAAGGCTCATCTTGCGCTGCTTC